ATTGAGATTGTCAGTTTTGTATCTCATCGCGGAAACCCGATCCCTTCATTGCGTGTATTGCGTGCAGAATTTGCTGTCAAAATTTGAATTTTTTAGTGCAATATCTGTGTTACTAATTTTATAATGTTTGTTTGCGTTTCATTTGAACGTGTATCAGGTATTTCGGGTAGGTTTTAGTGTTCTGTAGATTTTGTTGTCAAATTTAGAATGGTTGGAGCTCAATATCTGTGTTGCTAATTTTTACAAGATGCATAAATTTGTGTTGACATTTTTTTGATGTTCTTTGGCATCAGGCGAATGTTGAGGTTATTTGTAGATATCTACAAAAATGAGCAAGTATTTAAAATGCTAAAATTTAAAAACTGAGAATTATCTTGGAAATTAATGTGTCTCATTTGGTAAACATCATACACGTCGATTGTTATCTCAAGATAAGTTCCAAATATATTAGCTAACTACGCTAAACAAAGATTATTTGCAATGGACTGCAAAAATAATGTTGACTGATGCTACTCATTCTCATTTATAACTATTGATAGCAAAGTAATTGAATGTTTGTTAGTTAGCAAAAACGTAATTCACTGACGTTTTATCTTTCAAACAAAACGGCTATATTGTGATACAGCACAAAAACATAGGTAAACAAGTTTTCGAATTGCCAACTTCTAAAATGTTTGACAAATCACTGAAAAAAATTTTCAATTGAATTTCGATCAAATTACAGTCATTATAACGATATAGTGTAGATTCAGTAATATTAGTTAAGTAAATCGTATAAAATCGAGTTATACATTACAATAGACACCCCTAAAGTATACATTGAACTTGAAACACCGAACACAAAAATATATTTTACTAGCAAACTTTGATTCAATTACAAAAATCTTTATCGTAGCAAAGGTCGATTTTTAGTTACACCAGGTTAAGTATGACGTTTAAAATCAACTGATGTGTGCTAAAACATAACATACAACAAGTTTTGGGGGGTTGCAGCTTGAAGCCCCAAAGTTTTAGGAGGCGCTGATGTCCCGAACTTCATCGATGTTGTTACACCAAGCGTCGATAGACTACCTTCTGTTTACAGTGGCTATTTACAAACCTGCAAACCGATCGTCATTATCCATTTCGGTTTGTTATGGATCTTTAGGAGAATCGGGAGCTTCAAAACAACGGTATTTACAAGGCAAAGCCAAGTGTACGAGAAGTTAGTGATACGAGGTTATTGAAAATTTAGAGGAAAATTCAAATTAAATGTTATGTGGTTGTGATATAAGTGCTTACAATAGTTCATGGTTTGGAATTTAATATTTTAATATTTAATACTAAGGTGTTTGTGTTACTTTATTTATGCATAACACGGTGCTGTAATGTAGGAGAAAATAATAATATATCCACCAATTACAGTTTAGTTAGTTCATACTTAGGCTAAATCTTAAAATTACTAGATGTTGTTTCAAGATGTAGCGAATTTTATATAAATTACGAAAGGTTATAATATATTTTAATTGTCATACAATTTTGAACTCAACAGATTGTAACAAATTGATGTGTGTTACTCTATTGTTAACTTTTACTGTAAATTATGTACCGGTAAGTTAGTAGTTTTAATCCCCTCAAATTCTATATAATTAGCCCGAAAAAAAGTTATCCCTAAATTCACACATACTGTACCTAAATGCTTATTACCTTTCATGGGTACGTTTTTAGGTATAAATTAACACTTGGAACATTTTATTCCTATTAAATTTCTAAGGTTTTGAGAGAAATCGAACGATGATAAATTTGTATTAAATTGCTCTGGAACGCTGTGTATTTTTAAAATTTTATTGAGGTAAAATGTTAGTTATCATTATACTTAACATGTATTGTGGATGATTTAAAACCTGCATTTAGCACAACATTTTCATTTAGAGTTCAAAATGTTATATTAAACTTTTAAAATTCAAGCTTGTACTGGTTTTATTTGAACGTTTTGCCGATGCAACGCTCGGATTACGACAAATTTCAAAATTCATACGCGTCAAAATTCCGCTATAGCAATTTCAAGTATTATATAATCATTCATAATTTGATACACGATAAGCAAGCCGTCCACAATTCACCTATATCCACGGGGCTGCAATTTTCTTGTAAACAAATATTGTATACACAGCCATAACGATTTCGCGGTCGCCAACATATTCGACAAGATCACCGTCGATTATAAAGTGATTAGTATAAGAAGAAAGTAATAAGTCTTGTAGCAGGCTGATTTTATCACAAACCGGACTATCTGGTGAGCCACTGCCATTATAATAAACAAGAGCAGTTATTGCGACCGGCCTTCTTGATCGCGATTATTTATATAGAGCATTGTTGCGATTCGTCCAATCGCCGACACATCTCCGAGATTCAAAAGGCCTTGGAGTTTTTGTTTTGTCGCTTGAGTTGTATTTGAGATGATTTTGAAAGTTATCTGTGTAATTTATTTAAGGTTAATCGTAAAATATTGTGTGCATTTATTTTGTTACACTTCTCTGCAGTTCAAGTATGAACTGTACATACATTTTGTTTATTTAGACCCTATTTTATGATTTTTAAGATACAGAATTAATAATCCTGGCGTGAGTTCTTCGAACAAAACTAGTTGTGAGCTAAAAATGTTTACCGATTAGTGCTAGTTCTAAACTATGTTAGAGAGGCAAGTAAAGTTAATTTTCATAAATATAGAATATAGGTATATAGCCTATCTAATTCGTTCCTACTTTTAATAGTGTCATAGTGAAGAAAAGAAAATTGATATTTAAATAACTGACGAGCATATTACCGATTTATTTCCTACAGAATATTAACCCATTCACAATTAATTGCAACAATAACAAAAGTGATTTTTACGGTTCGGTGATGCGTAAATAACGTTGTTCTTCGAAAGATAGCAAATATTACCTAATTTCGTTTTCTGTTATTGTTTTCCTACGATTAACGAGCAGTAACCCCCAAATATTATAATCAAGCAACAACCATTTTCCTACGGACTGGGACCTATGTATTGTAGGCCTAAACTGTAGTTTTGCAAATCGACGAATTCCATTACCTGATAGAAATTGCACATTTGGAATCAATAAATTCAAATTCTTCACTCACATTGAGAGGTCCCGGCATCCTCGGCGGTTTCCCCGGGGGCACCAAGTAGTCGGGGAGTTTCCCATTCATTTCTCCCGGTTTCCCAGAGTTTTCCCCAGAGTTCCTCCTCATCTGCCTCCTTTGCGACCTCATCGCCTCCATCTCCAACTCCAGGTGCCTCAACTCCACCTCGGCCACTTCCGGTCTCCTAGGACCCATGTCCGGTCGTCCGAGGAGTTGGTTCAAGTCCTTATAGTGGAAGTTGTTTCCCCAGTTGAACTTGTCAAAGTTCAACATCTGGGGTTTGTCCGCGTCGCTCTTCTCGTTCTTCACCCTCTCGATGGTCAGTTCGTCCCTGTAGCGCCCCCCTGGCTCGAACACTCCCCCCTTGTGCCCCTCGGGCGGTCCCAGAAACGTCGGGACGTTGTTCTGCATCAGTAGCATCGGGGGTGCAGAAACACTAGGTTCATTTTGAAACTGTTCACTATTGTATTGGGTTAATATTTATTGCACATGTTTTTGATCCACCACTGTTTAACCACCTGAGTACCTACTACAACCCTTACACAGAATATTCAATATCGAATTTTCGTCACCTAAACAACACAAATATGAATCACTTATTAAAAATATTCCGCAAAAACATGTTTAGAACGCTTTAGATTAGTCTTATCTATTCCACTATCACTGATACGCCGCACTTGTTAACCAAGTCACATCACAACACAAGTCGATCACTATACAGCGGTGCGCGGTGCGCTAACTACGACAATTTGGCACTGTTTAGATAAAACGAGCCGAGCGGGACGGAGCAATGCGTTCGTAAATTGGTGAAGAAAAAAACTGACGTATATCGAAGGTGAGATGGATGAGTGACACGGCCGCCGCTAGGTAGCAGCACAGTCGCTCCCTCTCTCTCGCTCCCCCCTCCACCGTTGCGCGCCGTCGACAAAACAACATAACCCTTGCCTCTATTTGAGCACCCCTTATTTGGAACCAAAGAAATCGTCAGCTCGTCTTTTTGTTTTGCTTCGTGTTTTGTTTGGACCTCGCCGGCGCTCCCGACTCCTGCCGGGCTCTTGGATGGACGGATGAATAAATATACAGTCAACACTAGTAGATTAAGTGACGAGGTACCTACTGTTGAACTAGGGATTACAGAGATGAGTGACTTACGATTAAATAGTAAAGAGTATTCTATTTTAAAGGCAATGTGAATAAGGATGCCTCTGGGAAAGGGATGTTAACTGGAAAGATAGGAGGATAGGATAATACTAATCATTTTCCCGTTTTCGTACATTGTGTTGGGCTAAATATCATGTGTATTGCACTACAAGTTTTCGTAAGCACCATATGTAAGGTTAAATATAATTAAAAAAGAAATGATAAAATTAACATCATTCGGTTAGGAAGAAAATTAATTTTAATGAATGCTCAGTTCAATTTAGTTGTCTAAATAACATGTATTTGATTTAATAGTATGAAATACGAAAACTGTACTCAATATCTTTGAACTGAACCATTTGAATATCATCTAAACATTGAATAGTTCAAATGGAATTCGATACTCAATCAATTGATACCGCAAACGAAACTCCTCTAAAACCCTCGTTAAGAAAACCCGTAGCGTGACTCCTACGACAATTATTCCGTCCCAATCACGGCCAATTAAAATTAACTCCGACACAAGGACTGCCCGCATGCGTGTCCAATCATTTTAATTATCCCTAATGAATGCCTACAACAGGGACAGAGCCACGAATCGTCCGCAAAAAGTGTAGGAATAGTCGATACCTTGTTGGAAGGTGAGGAAGAGCAGGGTGGTGGGGGGACGGGTCAATCTGTCAAACCAGGGGGAGGGGAAGTGTCACAGCGAAGGGGAAGTAGGGGAAGCTTACCACCTCCATGACGGACGTCTGTGATTGGTCGAGCCCGCGCAGACGCAATGGAGTGTCCCCGCTCACTGGTGGACTGACGCGCCCCTCTCCTGCGACAAAACAAAGTGGAATAGCATAGAGAAAACACCACAATACACAGAGCAATAGAGCATACAGTGCAACGAGCATTGAGCAAACGTATAGTTGAATGTATTGTCATGGGTGTGTGGTAGTTTATGTGGTGTATGTATTGTAGTTGAGCAGGTTAGGCTAATTACTTATATTTTTTATATCAATTTAACAACTCTACAATAATAGAAAACGATAAATAGACTAAGCCTCAGTAGTTAATATAAAGCATAGAGAAGTTATCATCACAAATCCAAAGAGCACACATCATACACAGTTGGAATTGTATTGTTATGATCATGGTGTGTGTTCGTTCTCCATATGTTGGTATTGCAATGTATTGAAGTTTAACACATAGTGTTAGACACTTTTTCAAATTTAAAGAAGAATTCGTTAAGAAAATTATGAGTTACAAGCTTAAATCAAACAAAACAACATTACTCTTGCAGTTCTTAAGAGAGTATACAACGATTTGTTTATACTGATACTACAATTATTTGGCTTTAATGTTATACGTGGTGGATGTATCAATACTACAGTTCTTAAAGTTTAATATGATCCAGCTTAACATAGGCCTAGATATATTATTTATACAAATACTTCACGATTCATTTAAAGATTACAATTTACTTTAAAATTTAAACATGACAGTAATCAATTCTTGTTTTGTAAGCTCATGCGTTTTTAAAATAACAAACCATAGTAAATAATAGCCAAAAACTATGCCAATTCGAATACAAAATTAGTTATTTTAAATTGTTAAGCTGTTACAAATCCTATAAGCATTTCGCGGAAATGCCACAAAATATAGACCACTTAAAAACATAGACTACAGTTCGAAAACGCAGTGCGTTCTTTAAAATTGCAACACTAAACTAGAAAAAAAACTCCTAAACTAAAATTGTCACAATCGAAACCACAACGGCAAACAGATACAAAGGTAGTCTACGATTAGGGGGAGATCGACTATACAAACTCCCTCCATAATTAACTGTTCAGACAACAGGCTGGCCTAAATCTGGCGGGAAACAAATCATGTGTTCAACAATGAGCCACATGTTTGTGTCAAAGGGCGAACAGAACTAACAGCTGTCCAGCATCGATTACAGGTGTTACTTGTAGATTGTTTTGAAGATAGAAACTATGTGCTGAAAAAGCATTTACTGGGGAAATTATCAATAGTTTCGAGAAAAAAATGGTTGTGGGATAAAATAAAAGTATTTTACCCGAGCAAGACTTGCTTGGAAGATCCGTTCCCCTTCAAATAGTGGTTTAAAACCGATTTAAATAAATTTAGCACAAAACTATAGTATGTTTTCATTTAATTAATATGTCTATTTCACAATTTACTCACGCCTGCTAAGACTAAAATGTTATGAAGTATGGAATGACACTAACAAGTCCCTTATTCATTTTCTTTAAATATATTTGGGTTTTAACCTACCGAATTTACACTTCTAACTGGGATAGATATTATTTGTCTTAAATGTCTAACAAGCAGGAATAATTAAATCGGTCAAATATTTTGACAGCAAATGGGATATTCGTAATCTGTACAAAATAGCAGTCTGTTCATTTCTTTATACATAATCATTGCAGGGCTATACAAATTGATAATATTAGCTAGAAGAAGTTTATTAAGAAAATTCCACAAAATTGCTATCACTCAGCAAATGAAATAATGTTATTGTTTTAGCTAAACTTTTTTCAGTATAGTTTGTAATTAAATTACCATGACTTATAAGTCAAAATAGTTTACTACTCGTAAACAAAGTACCCTACTCAACTAAGCTAATACCACTAAGGAAACAAAATTACACCCATACTACGTTGAACAAACAATGTTCAAGCTCCAAGTCTTTATCGATCCTTCCAACCAATCACACATAACTATCAACAACTTGAAGAATAATTGCATGTAATACAGTCGATGCTTGTGAACATGTCCAAGGATATAGGACGAAGTTGAGGACGGGTCCTTAATTAAAAGACATGGATCAGAGGATCTGATAATGTCCTTCATATACAACACGCAAGCATCGTTAACACTGGATACTCATGACATTGGGTAAAGTCATACATGTCGTTAAACCTAATGATAATTATCCTGTTACCTCCAGGTAAAAAGTAATTTACAGTAGTAGAACCATAATGTGTTATTTAGACACTTATTGGTTATCTAGGGAATGTATTACTCTAGTGAAGAGCATACAGGATTACGAAATGATTTTCAATGATTCATTATTCTATGGGATCACTATTATTTTGACCGTTTAGTGATGACCCACAGGAAAGTAACAATAAAACATGTTCTAATTCATTTTCCTACAGTTACCTAACAATGTACATGTTCTCTCACTGATTTGAGAAAGCAAAGTGGCCAATTCGCTCATCAGTGAGACAATGTTAACATTGTCTCACTCTAATTACTTTGTCTCACTCCAGATTTGCAACGTGAAGGCACGAAATAGTGAGCGCGTAACATGCAGGCAACGTCGTATGCGCGCGAAATACGTTGGCAGCACTGGCTGTAAATCAGCTGGTCAGCTGTTGTACTGTCACTACTGTTGTATTTGTCACTTCACATTAAATGTTACATTAAAAGTTTACTTCTGTGTTAAAATAGGTTATGTTTCTTCACCAATTTATTTGTTTTATGGTAACTGTAGGAAAAGTATAATGTGCAACTCGAGTTCAAAGTACAATTGCCTCACTCTAGAAACCATTTCTCGTAAGGATTTCTCTCGAGTGAGTCAATTGCTCACTTTTCTTACTAGTTGCACAAATTACTATTGCCAATTCAAAAGAGTGAAAGTGGTAACTTAAACGTTAGGGATTCTTAATACTATTATTATTAGTCTTATTCGATTTATTTAAATAATGCCCAAGTTAATCGTCTATTGTAAGCCAAATATGTGAATTTATAAACCCCATGAAACATTCTTCGAACCACAAAAGAACAACAATATTGCTATCCAAAACGTCACAACAGACTCTACGTTGGATAACCCATAGGATAACCTTTGGATAACAATGCGGAATCAGTTTAGTATCCATTCAGATGAAACATATGTTACAAATGTTTAAATGACGCAATACAAATGAAAACGTATGTTCACTGTTCAGTGCTAAAGGTTGTGTAAAATTCCGAGAAGGTAATTAATTTGGAAAATTCGTATATATTTTTTTTAATTTACAGGAATCCACAAACACAAAGGTAAGTATTTAGTTAGTGAATCAACAATTAGAAGTAGACCAATGCAATTAGGCCTACTACAAAAATAGTTTGTAATAAAAATAAAATCTGTGTTCTATGAATATTTTAAATTAGTTAAGCTAATTCTGGGAAGTAACTGAAGTACCGTGGGATTAAACAGGGGCGCCAAATGATACTACCCCATAACCCTTCATCTTATACATTCTATCTTTTAAAATAATATTTGCTCCAATTGCACCGCCTAAATTCTGCTGAATTATGGTGAATTTATAATCTACATCCGCCCAAAAGTGTAAGCCATTTACCAAATTAAGTAGGTCAGCGTTTACCGAGTTACCCACAAGTTGCATTGGATACAAATACGTTTAATTGACTGTATGGCTGATTTTTTAACCCTTACAGCCTAAGATAACATGACTACTTAGCTTTTTTTATTGTGACTTTTTATGGGGCTTTCACACTACCACAATACCTCTAATAATTTACGTATGGTGAGAGTTAAACAACAATTCAATTAAAAGTGCTAATCTTTTTATACTCAATCAAAGATAATTCTTTGCCGTTTTATAGCAAAACTCTGATGCAGTAACGTTTTAAAATTAGACATAACCTAATTCCAATAACCTAATCAGACGTTTTGAAATTTGTCAAAAATATGCGTCGACAAAACAAGTTTATCCTCTTGACAGTCAGCTAATTAATGAGGTCAACACGTTGATAACCACTGATAAACAGACTTTGTCCCGAGAGCAGCTCACAGCTGCGTTGTTGAAATGTGTATTGTACACTCATCACCGTCAAAGTGCGGTAATATGATATAAATAGTTTAAATCACAATAGAACATCATTGCATGGCTTATAGTGTAGATACTTCTCATATAATCTGATAATTTTCATCTGGGACACCAATAAGATTTTTTGCTACGCATTTGGTGACTAGCGCGATTTGAACCCGTGTCAGAAAACCGTGCCCTATAGTCTGTATGGTGGAACCTGTCTCACGATCTTCCGACTTCCTGGGACTGGACCGGATGGTAAATAAAATGGATGGCCAAGAGACAGGTTCCGTCAAACAGACTATAACCACTACATCAACTACGTTCCTACATAATTTAATCAAACAATCATGGATTTTTAAACTAATCTAATACACGTTTGCACATATGTGATAAAACGTCAATGCAATATACAGTTTTTGGAACCAATTAAAATATATATTGGACAAATCGTATATACAATGGTTTGCATCAATGTACTGTTTTGATGCTCGCTCTATGAAACGCACAGTTTAATCGTAATTTTGAGTCTCAAAGCTCAATGTGGTTAAAGTGTTTTAAAAACTGAAGAAGATCCGACAAAAACAATTGAGTAATATTTATCAGTCCTATAAATTAAATCCACTTAGCGAAATATAAAGCAGATAATAATTAATAAAGAAGCATCTCGTCTTCCACAAAAATCCTAACATCCTCATTTCGGAAAAAGTTATGCCCATCAATATAACATCCACTATATTAACAGTACCCCAAATAGAATCCATCCGTTTATTCCTTCAAATAATTAGACTAAAAATAATTCTCAACCAAAACATCTCCAAAGATCACCAACAACTACTACATTGCCCGACCAGCTGACTGAACGTGATGGCGACGCTCAAGTGTGAAAATTCAATCGCAATGTTTAATAATTGTTTCAGTTCCGCTCCCCCCCCCCCCCCCCCCCCGGGGCCGCAAGCGATGTTATTTATGCAGCTAACCTGTACCG